CCAGTAAAAAGCGATGGAGCGCGGCAGAGCATGTGAGCACGTGGGTTACCTACACCTGGATATCACAGAGACAAGTGCCTCATTACTTGATCATATCTGGACCAATACTATATACTAAAAGCAGACATATTCACAGACAACACTACGGACCACTACCCAACTTTTCTTGTTACCAACTTAGGTAGACTGCCTCAGGACATGATTAAGATCTCTTTGCGACTACATGATGAGTCATCAGTAAATAATTTTATGTCTGCCTTGCGTAACACTCCAACAGTTATTTATATCTTACCCTAACTGCCTCCTCCTGTAGTTTATAACCTTCACCTCTCTCTTGCTTGTTGCTTCCATTTTCCTTGTATCTCATTTACCTTTTACTCTCTCTGTAGCTACAACTAAAGTGTGATCTGATATATCTGTGGCCCCTCTATAAACATGTACATCCTGAAGTCTACCCAACAGTCTTTTATCTACCAATACGTAGTCCCAGAAATTTCTGCCATTATGCCCTGTATTATATCTTGTATACTTATTTATCCTCTTTTTCATTAAATATATGTTACCTATAACCAAACCCCTTTCTATACAGAGTTCAATGAAATGCTCCCCATTATCATTTACACCTGGCACCCCTAACCCTCTCTAAACACTTCTCCTACTTAAGCATTTAGGTTTCCTACCACAATTACTCACTCATTTGGCTCAAAGGTTTCTACACACTCGCTTAACATCTCCCAAAATCTCTCTCTCTCTCTCTCTCTTTTACATTCCTCTCTTCTCCAGGTGCATACACACTTATTATGACCCACTTTTCACATCTGACCCTTATTTTAATCCACATAATCCTTGAATTTATACATTTATATTCCCTCTTCTCTCTCCATAACTGATTCTTCAACATTACTGCTTCCTTTTCCTTAGCTCTAACTCTCTCATATACTCCTGACTTAATCCTATTTATTTCTCCCCACTGAAACTTCCCTACTCCCTTCTGCTTTGTTTTGCTTAGGGCCAGGACATCCAACCTCTTTTCATTCATAACACTGGTAGTCATTTCTTTATCATCCGCACTACATCCGTGCATATTCAAACATTCCAATCTAGTAACGTTTTTCTTTTCCTTGTTTATAGTAGTTTATACAGGAGAAGGGGTTACTAGCCCATTCCTCCCGGCATTTAGTCGCCTCCTGCGACACGCTTAGCTTACAGATAAAGAATTATGTTCACCTTTCCCATGGAGATTAGGAAAAATAAACATGAACAAAAACTAGGAAGAAAATAGAAGAAAACACTGAGGGGTTAGTATATACATGCTTGTACATGCATGTCTATTGTGATCTAAGTGTAAGTAGAAGTAGCAAGACATACTTGCAGCCTTGCATGTTTATGAGACAGAAAGACACCAGCAATCCTACCATCATGCAAAACAATTACAGGCTAGGACGGTAGTACCTCCCTGGGTGGTTGTTGTCTACCAACCAACTACCTATAATATATATGTCGTGCCGAATAGGTAAAACTGGCCAGTTAGCAAGAACTCATTTACAATTAAGGCCTTTCTTAAAATTTTCTCTTACACGTTTAAAGATATACTTTTTCTATTTATGCTAATGTAAAAATTAGTAATTTTGTACCTTAGAAAACCTGCCTACCCATATTAAAGTAAGTGCAATTTAATTTAGCCTAATCCAGCTAAATATTTTTTAGATAAGTTGGCAATAATTTAAAAATAAACTAAAAATGAAATATATTTTTTTTCATTAGGTTCAGAATGAACCTAAGGAATAAAATATATTTCATTGTGTTTGTTTCTTATTAAATTACTGTAAATTTATAAAAAATAAATTTAGTTGGATTAGGCTAAATGAAACTGTTTTTTTACAATAAAGTTAGGTAAGTTTTTAAGGTTCTTTTGGTAAAAAATTATTAATTTTTACATTTAAATGAAAAAATTTATATATTTCAAAATATTTAGAGAAAATTTTAAACGAGTTCTTGCTAACTGATCATTCGGATATCATTTGAGGATATCCCTCCAAGAGAGAACCCGCAGTAATGGATTTAAATTAGATAAGTTCAGATTTACAAAGGATGTAGGAAAGTATTGGTTTGGAAATAGGGTAGTTGATGAGTGGAACAGTCTACCTAGTTGGGTTATTGAGGCTAGGACTTTGGGTAGTTTCAAATTTAGGTTGGATAAATACATGAGTGAGAGGGGTTGGATTTGAGTGGGACTTGCATGTCAGAGCTTATTTCTTGGGTAGCATTGAAAATTGGGTTGGGCAAATGTTTTGTTAGTGGGATGAATTGTAAAGGACCTGCCTAGTATGGGCCAACAGGCCTGCTGCAGTGTTCCTCCTTTCTTATTTTCTTTATATATATATAATATATATATATATATATATATATATATATATATATATATATATATATATATATATATATATATATGCAATAAGATCACAGTAAACAGGTGATTTCAAAATATGCAAAACAACCACTGTGAAAGAATAGTGAAATTCCAAGTACTTTCGTACTGAGAAGTGCGAAAGTACTTGAGCTAAAGATTTCCACCCTCCTGTGGCTTGTCTTGCATAGTTAAGATCTCCTGTCTGCGATTGTTTGCATATATATATATATATAAAATATATATATATATATATATATATATATATATATATATATATATATATATATATATATATATATATATATAAATTCTTTCAACACACCGGCCGTATCCCACCGAGGCAGGGTGGCCCTAAAGGAAAAACAAAAATTTATCCTTTTACATTTAGTAATATGTACAGGAGAAGGGGTTACTAGCCCCTTGCTCCTGGCATTTTAGTCGCCTCTTACGACACGCATGGCTTACGGAGGAAGAATTCTGTTCCACTTCCCCATGGAGATGAGAGGAAATAAACTAGAACTAGAAAGAAAATAGAAGAAAACCCTAAGGGGTGTGTGTTTATATATCTATCTATCTATCTATATATATATATATATATATATATAATGTCGTGCCGAATATGTAAAATTGGTCATCTAGCAAGAACTCATTTAAAATTAAGTCCTTTCTAAAATTTTCTCTTATACGTTTAAAGATACATTTTTTCATTAATGTTAATGTAAAAAATTTTAATTTTGCACCAAAAGAATCTTAGAAAACTTACCTAACCTTATTATAACAAGAGCAATTTATTTTAGCCTAACCCAACTAAATATATTTTAGATTTGTTTACACTAATTTAATACTAAGCAAACACAGTGAAATATATTTATTTCGTTACGTTCAGAATGATTTTGGCGAAATTAATGTGTACACAAATTTTCACTTGTCCTATATGGCAAGATAAGCGTTGCTATTTAAGCCAAGATCGCAAGTTCTGCCTATTCGGCACGACATATATATATATATATATATATATATATATATATATATATATATATATATATATATATATATATATATAATATATATATGCAAGGCATTCTCAAGAGCAGGTGAAATATACACAAACACTGATCTCTGGCCGAAGGAGTCTCCTGTCTGTAAATCTGAAAAAAAATATCTTGGGGGCTTCAAGCTTGAGATTCTGACTGCATGTCTAACCCTGGCTTTGTTAGCATCAAGGTAATTGTCTGCAAAAACTCATCAAGTTTCCTGATAATTGCCTTTAACCCTTGGAAATGATTTAAACAGTTCAAAGGGTTCACCCTTAACAAGACATTTTAAATAGTTTAATTTGGCTATCTCATCAATATCAGTTCTATATTTGAAGGTCATAATCATGATCTTTAAATATAGGTGGTAATGAGAGGTTAGGAAGACTAGGTAGTGGTATGCCAGTTGTGGCAAATGTAACAGGTGTCTGACTACTAACTACAGTAGGTCTTTGTGACATAAATTTCTGGTAGTTACAATTGTTGATCACTGAACGTGACCAAAACTTGCTGAAGTTCATCCTCAGATGGATTTGACTGTAGGAGTTTACTTTCATATTTCTCATAATCTGAATTAGTGTTCTCCAGGCACCTAATATGTAGAACCAGTTTTACTTCTAAAGCAACAAAATCATTGTTTGCATTTTGGGTCAACCCTACACAGGTTGAAATCAACTTTTCTATCTGCATACCTTTCGTTTACAAAGATTTCAACTGCCTTTGCAATGATGCCATCTTCAACTGGAAATACTAAAACATTCTTATCAGAATACACTACAAGTTTAAACACTCCACCGCAGTGAACATATTGAACAATAAACATTCACTTACATATTGAACAATAAACATTCACTTACATATTGAACAATAAACATTCACTTACATATTGAACAATAAACATTCACTTACATATTGAACAATAAACATTCACTTACATATTGAACAATAAACATTCACTTACATATTGAACAATAAACATTCACTTTCATATTGAACAATAAACATTCACTTACATATTGAGCAATAAACATTCACTTACATATTGAACAATAAACATTCACTTACATATTGAACAATAAACATTCACTTACATATTGAACAAGTTATCAGTTTATATGTAAAAAAAAAGACAAAGTATTGTTATTAGCACATTATTATATTGTCCCATGTACAGTACTGACACTGTACACAGGTGATAATGGTGGTAACACTGTACACGAGTGATAATGGTGGCGACACTGTACACAGGTTATATCGGTGGTGACACTGTACACAGGTGATAATCATAGTGACACTGTACACAGGTGATAATGGTAGTGACACTGTACACAGGTGATAATGGTAGTGACACTGTACACAGGTGATAATGATAGTGACACTGTACACAGGTGATAATCATAGTTACACTGTACACAGGTGATAATCATAGTTACACTGTACACAGGTGATAATGGTAGTGACACTGTACACAGGTGATAATGGTGGTGACACTGTACACAGGTGATAATGATAGTGACACTGTACACGGGTGATAATGCCGGTGACACTGTCCACAGGTTGATGATCTTCGTGGGATGAGTGAGAGCATCAAGAGGCTGGTGGAGGCTGGCCTGGTGTTGGGTGTCCACCAAGACCAAGATGACCTCCGCTACTCCAGGATAACTTTACAAGATGGTCATCTGTATCTCCACACTCTCCAGCACCAACCACCACATTACCACACTATCCAGGTACTTTATTACACTACCAATCTTACTGTACCACCACACTATCCAAGTACTTTATTGCACTACCAATCTTGCTGTACCACCACACTATCCAGGTACTTTGTTACACTACCAATTTTGCTGTACCACCACACTATCCAGGTACTTTGTTACACTACCAATTTTGCTGTACCACCACACTATCCAGGTACTTTGTTACACTACCAATTTTGCTGTACCACCACACTATCCAGGTACTTTGTTACACTACCAATTTTGCTGTACCACCACACTATCCAGGTACTTTGTTACACTACCAATTTTGCTGTACCACCACACTATCCAGGTACTTTGTTACACTACCAATTTTGCTGTACCACCACACTATCCAGGTACTTTGTTACACTACCAATTTTGCTGTACCACCACACTATCCAGATACTTTGTTACACTTATCATTCTCACAGTATATACCCACCTACTCCCACCCTCCACAAATTCCTGCACCAACGCAAAGGAATAATTCGCGGCGCTAAGGTGGTTTGTTCATTTAGAGAGGATGGAACAGGATAAGATGATGAAGGTGTTTAAATCTTTCATGGAAGGAAGGAAGGAAGGAAGGGTAGGGGTTGTCTCAGTAAAGCTTGAAAGAGCGGTTTTAATGGTTGTTTTGGTATTATATAGCAGAGTCCCACTTTATGGCATTTCACCCTACAGTGTTCCGCTAATACGGATATTTCAAATTATGACCAAAACTCGCTATACGCTCCCCCACCTGACTTCCTATTACTGACACTGAACTCCCTTCTAGTTTACAATTTCCGTGAGCTACGTGATCACTGCTCCCTCTATTATGTCTCGAAACTTTACAAAATTTCAAATATTTTAAAGTTATTTCATATTTTATATATTCGCTGATAAATATACTTATGAGTACCTGTGCCTAAATAAACTTACACACTGTGCTGGTACACATACAAATCATTAAGAGTGTCTTATTAGTCTTGAGGACGCCATGTTAATAATGTTAATAATAATTTCACTCTGAGGCGCATTAAATGTCGTATATTACGTAAATATAAACATTTCATTAATCTATGGTATTTTTATTTTCAAAATTATATAAACACGCTACATAACATATAAACATGATAAATACACTCCACAGTCGAATAAATTAACATAAATATAAGATGTAAGGTGTAGATGAACATACATCAACCATAACCACACTCGTTCGTCTGTTAGTTTACATCTTCCACGTCTCTCTCCTCTCATTTACTCATTCTTTCTTTCTCGTTTATTTGTTTTACCTCGTTTATTCACTTATCACCATACATTAAGACTACAAATATTTTAATGTAATTAACGAACGTTCTGTATGTGCATTTTATCACTCGAATGTGCTTTAAATATTGTAGTAAATTACATGTGAGTGTGCTCACCTGGCTGGCTACCATACCTCCCACACCTGACTTCCTACAAATAAAACTCACCTCGCACCCTACATTAAGACTACAAATATTTTAAGCTAAGTAATTAAGGTACTGTGTGTGTAATTTTCTTTTTATTGTTTATGATGCTTAGTTCTATTGCTAACTTAATATATGTTAGTGTAAACTTGTTATCTGGCATTTATGGGCATTTATAACTGGAAAAAATGGTGTTTCACTTTCCGTCGATATCCACTTCCAGCAGTATCCTGGAATCTAAGCTGCTGTATAAGTGCGCCCCTACTGTATGTTGCAAGAGGGTAAGCAAGGTAACATTTATGTATTAATTTTGCAATACTGGTTAGTTGTGCCAGAGGCCTGGAGCTGGGTACAAGTAGAGTGAATATACTCTGAAGGAGTGGAGATTCGAGCAAGTTGAAAGAATGTACTCTGAAGGAGTGGAGATTAGTATAAGTTGAATGAATGTACTATGAAGGAGTGTAGGTTAGTACAAGTAGAGTGAATGTACTCTGAAGGAGTGTAGGTTAGTACAAGTTGAATGATGTACTGTGAAGGAGTGGAGATTAGTACAAGTTGACTGAATGTACTCTGAAGGAGTGGAGGTTAGTACAAGTTGAATAGATGTATTCTGAAGTAGAGGTTAGTACATGTAAAATGAATGTAATCTGAAAGATGAGTGGTGATGCTGAGTACAGGACGTGTGTACAAGCATAGTGAATGTACTCTGAAGGAGTGGTGGTGAGGTTGGAGACATTTTATTTGTGGTGTCTGTGTGTGTCTGGCAAGATAGCTACTGAATAAATATTGGTGAATTTGTTTCCTTTTCTGGGTCAGCCAACCTTGATTCATGGTGCCCAGTGTAGACAAACTGATATAGCAGACTAATCCATATACTTAAAAACTACGCAAGTCTAGACAGGTAAAGAATGGTAAAATTTAATTATTCATTATTTTAGCTTATTACTACTGTGAGGGAGACAAAACGTTTTATGGTTAATAAGATAGTGATGATGTAGCTCATAATTAATAACAGTCTTACAAGTAGTACACTTTATAGTGATACAACACTACAATGTTAAGTATTTATTAATGTTTTAAGATTAGCGGCCATAAATATTTATGAGAGTTGCTTCAAACATGTTAGATGATTTGCCATAGTTCTGGTATGATTAGTATTGAGAGATGAGATGATTATTAAGTATAGCACTAAATTGATTTATATGCAGGACCTTCTACTGGTTCTGGCAATAAATTCCAGATCTTCTGGCCCTTTATGTGCAATGCATTTTGGCATAATGTGAGACGGACACGGGGGATGTCAAAAGTGTTTTGTGCCTTTTGTTATGCTTGCGTGTTTTGTTGTAACTTTCTAGAAGTTTGAGTGGAGGGTTTATATTGGAGTTTAATGTTCTATATATATAGTAAGCACAGTAATATGAGTGTATATTTTGTATATTAAGTACGTTCAAGCTCCTGAAGAGTGGTTAGGTGTGTTGATCACCAAGTCCTGCACTGGACATCTGTATAGTAGTTTTTTGTTGGGTTATTGACGGTTTAAGGTGATTGGCCATGGTAGATCCGAAAGCACAAATACCATAGGTGAAGTAAGGGTAGATTAGAGAGTGATAGTGTAAGGAGTGCTGTTTGGGGTACATAGACAGGCAGCTATAGACTGACATAGCGGCATGTACAACCCTAGTTTATATCAGTAAATTCAATCTGCTTGCTTTTTTTGTGGATGATTTGAAGAGTTTGGGTCAAAAAAATCACATTAATTAAATTTTGTTTTGCATTAAATGTGACCTGGTACACGTATATTAAATGTAACCTATATTATATATGTGACCCGGTATATTAAATGTGACCTGATATTATATCAAATGTGACCTGGTATTATATTAAATGTTACTTGGTATTATGTTAAATGTGATCAGGAAGTGTAAAATAAACCCAGTGAGGAGCAGGGGTGCGGTGGGGACAATAAGGGAACACTGTATCAACATCTGGGGTCCCAGACTTTTCAACATCTTACCAGAAGATATCAGAAACACTGCTGGAACTAGTGTTGAAGCCTTCAAGAGGAAACTAGACAAGTATCTTCACCAGGTGCCAGATCAACCAGGCTGTGATGGATATGAGCGGCAGCGGGCCTCCAGCAGCAACAGCCTAGTTGACTACGCGAGCACCAGACGAGTCTGGCCCATGGCCGGGCTCAGAGAGTAGATATACTCTAGAAATTCTTCAAAGGTATATCAAAGGTAAAGGTAAGGTATCACTTAATTTGCACTAAAGATAATTCACACTAATGGTCGTGTAGTTGTTGTTGTTGTTGTTGTTATTATTAGCTGTTATAAATATTGAATATAATTATCTCGCTTAATGTAAAAATATTATTACCTTTACTTTAAAATTTAGAATTTATAATAATAATAATGATAATACAGTAATAATATTTTAATAATAGAAGATCATTATACAGTGGAACCCTGAGTTTCGTATGCCCCGAGTGTCGTATGTTTCGAGTTTAGAACCTTTTTTGGCTAAATTTTGTCCCATGTTTCGCACTGTGCCCTGTGTTTCGTCCTGCGTACCAAACCTGTCTGCCTGCCCGCACCTGCGTGCCTCCCGGTGCAGCAGTCATGAGTCAGTCTGATCATTACATTATATACTAGGCATTTAAAGTGCTCTAGAGCGACAAAAATGCATGTACAGTACACTCATTACTTTCCTTAAAATGTCTGCAGTCTTAATGTAGAGTGAGAAGCGAGTAAACAAGATGAGTACATGAGTAAATGAGAGTACATGAGTACATGAGAGCGTAGAAGTTTTTTTTTTTTTTAAGATTCCCCGGTATTCTCCCGGCCCGGGCCTTTTCCAAGTGGTGGCCCGGCCTTGGCTCCCTGTCTTGGGAGTGTCTGAGACCTAAGTCTTCCATGGGAGGAGGCACAAGTATCCCCTCATCTTCGGGACCAACTGTCCCCAGGCCTAGCAACAGTCCCCGACCTCACGGGGCTCGTAGGGAGAAGCTAGGCCTCTCTGGTCTGCCATCCCCGCCACAAGGGGGCTAATGGGAATGGTAGTCTTGTGAGCTGCAAGCTCTGTCTCAGGCACCTACCCTACCCTAGAAGAGTTAGGCATTGTGTCGATCCGTAGAAGGTTCGCTGAGTTTTGTAAACAAACCAGTTGTTGCTATAGTAGTTGTTAGTAGTTCGGACACGAATGGTTTATGTTCACTCCGTGAAGCCAACTGGAAAAACATCTCGTATTTATTAACCATACCCCCGGCTGGGATTGAACTCGCGGTCATAGAGTCTCAAAACTCCAGCCCGTCGCGTTAGCCACTAGACCAGCTAGCTGGTCTAGTGGCTAACGTGACGGGCTGGAGTTTTGAGACTCTATGACCGCGAGTTCAATCCCGGCCGGGGGTATGGTTTATTTGCAATCGTGTCATTACGATTTCTTGAGTCATCTCGTATTTATGTTGTGTTATCTTCATTAATATGGCATCTTCAAGACTAATAACACGCTCTTATTAATTTTAATGAGCTCCTGTACACCAGCACAGTTTAA